AAGAGACTAGATTTTAATCATTCCAGCCACTAAGAAGTGATAATTATATGACCCGATAAAGGTGCTAATTATCGTTAAATGGCAATTATAGCACAATACAAAATTGTATCAAATCAACATGGGTTACATTTATACAATCATATATCAAATATGTTTGCATTTTAAAAGATCAATAGTTTTCTAGGTTCTCAGGAACCCTATATTTTTGTGAATGTCTCAGAGGCCACAATGCAGGAAAATCAATGGGAGGTGGGCAGACAGTGCCCCAACTTCTCTATTACGAGAAGTTTGAATACTGCTGCACTAGGCAACCTTGGAGACCTTTGCCAGCTCTGACAGTCTGACTCCATGGCCCTCCCTGGAAACTGAGGGGAAAGGGAAACACAGTGTCGGGGCAGAACCCTGATGCCGGCAGAACAGATGCCGGGCCCCGTGGACACACAGTTTGCACATGCGTGTCCCATGTACCCTGCACCGACCCACGCTACTGATGTATGCTCATAAGATTCCGGGAATCACAGTGCCAACCACAATGAAACATAAAAGTACCATTCTGAGAACTACTCAGAATGCCTGGAAATCCTACCAAAGTCTTGCAGTTGGGGGACATTTCAAAAATGGCCCCTTCTCTGACACTTCACAGGAGAGCAAGTCCCCCCGTCATGGCACTGCTGATTGTCGGGCCTGGCCGACAGCTGTCCCCGTGAGCCAGCCAGCCAGCCAGAGCATTAACTCAGAAGGTCCATGAGAAGTCTCCTGTTCCTGCCAAACATCCCATTAGCTCTCTTGAACCTGCCTCTCCTTCCTTCCTTCTGTGTCTCTTCCTTCACAAACTTACTTTCCTATTCTCAAAACTCTCCCCATGCCCCAGCATCTGCAAACCTCGAGACTCCTCTAAATGCTAACTCTGAAACTGGAGAACAGCCTGAAATAAACCCGTCATCCCCTTATTAAGATCCAGGGTCTGATCCAGGAAGGGTGTTCAGGTATTTTCCTTGTTGCAAGACTGTGACCTGCAAATCTGGGCAAGGTTAACACCAAGGCATTTTGTAAAGATTCATCACAGGAGCCGTACAAATCAGGAGCGATCTCACCCTTGTGTGCTTGTTCAAATCTTGCCAGGGCCACAGTACTTCAACACTGCCTTTATACCTAACGCTCATGGGAGGGGTGTTGGGGGTGAAGAGAGAGGGAGAGGTGGAGCAGCCAATGATAAAAGGAGAAGAAGGTGAGAAGGGGAAAGTCAGACAGTGATAGGGATGCAGATAAGAGAAAAGCAGAGTGGAGGCAGAGAGCAAGAGGCATGGAAAGAGTATGCTGTCTTGATTTTGTTAGAGAAAAAAATGGCATGTACCATTTCTTCACCAAAGCTTTAAATTTTACCAAGGAAAGCTAAATGCTTTTGCAGAGGATAAAGCATTAACCGTGAACACGGGAGACTAAAGTGGGATCTGCACCCGAGTGAGCAGAGAGGAGAACCTGATGCCATGGAAAGGCTTGGGGCTTGGCTTAGACGTTCGAATGCATGCGCACAGAAAAAGCACCCCTGACTGAGCGATGATTTTTAAGATCCTACATAGCGGAGATTATCAGAAAAGAGGTCTCAGAACTCCAAGCTTATTGTGCCTCCTAGAGCTCAGGAAGGGAAGAGAAGAGAGGTGCCCTTGGGTCATTCCCCTCTTGCTGCCCTCCACCCACCCACTGGCTTCTCCTGTCGTAGCTACCTGATGTAGTCCAACCTCAGATTCCAGAGCCTAGCCATGCTCACGGTCACTAAAACACTGACCGTCCCCAAGGTCATAGATGTGTCCTTCTGTCTTTATTTGGACCTGGCAATGCTCTTGTTTGGTGATGCAGTTACAGAGGTCCACTCCAATGGCCAACTTTGACACTGAGAAGCAGGCATCAAGGCCCACACCATCACCAGCTACAAGGGCTGTACCTTCAAGAGCCAGAGGTTCACAGAGACGTTCCCAGACAGCAATGAGAGCTAGCAAGGTTTTGATTTTTAGACTGAAACTGACGTTCTACTTTTAGGCTCAGCTGACATGAACTCAACTGGGATCCCAACTGGCATTGCATGTCAGCCCTTAACTGTGCATGAAGACAACAGAAAGTGACCAGGGAATTCCACAGCCCTCTTCTCCCATGCTACCCCAGACTAGGGGGGCCACACCATCCATTCCCAGCACCCCCGCCATGCAATACTCTGGTTAGGCTGGGGGCAACCACCTGGTGTGCTGTTGTGGCTCCTCCCCAAAGCCAAGAAGATTCTGCTGTCTCAACACAACTATAACCTGAGCATCATTCTACCACACGTGGGAGCTGGCACTGGTGTGAAACCTATTTCCTCTCCTGTTCTGAGGTGTTGTCGCTCTCCAAACCCACTCCCTTCTGCACTTCACAACTTTCTGCCATCAGCATCCTTCCCTCTTCTGAACCCACATAAATGACACCAATGCAGGGGCAGTTAAGATAATCCCCTCCTTCTGTAAGGAGGGCATTATCTCTACATAAGGCCAATGAAAGTATTTGCAGGGAGGGGTCATCTGAGACACTGAATGAGCGCCAGCTCATGGATGTGGTCGAATACACATCAGTGATTCTCAACGGGAGGAGATTTTGACCTCCCAGGGCACGTTTAGCAGAGGCCAGAGACCACTGTGTTCAGGACAACGGCATCTGGTGACTTGACACCAGGGATGCTGCTAAACACCCGGAGAGGCCCAATCCAGGCCTCAACCATGAAGGACGATGCCGTTGAAAACACAGGAGCATCAAGGCCAAGGAGTCCCAGGAAACATTACGGCTGAGTGTTTGTTTAGTGGTAGGAAGAACAGAGACCGAAGACCCAGACAAGGGTCATCTGTATGGACAGCTCAGCGGAATTAGCAAATAACCCTCTACACCCTTCTGGGACAGCAGGCCTGCTTCACACACAGAGGACAGCCGGCCTGTGGGCCCCTGACAGTCTGCTGGCAGAGCTAGAGAGAGATTGGGACTTAGGAAGGTGAAGATTACTGAGTCTATGCTCAGGACGTTGGATTCAGGTAGTAACGGGGTGATACTGCAGGTAGACATTAGAAATCATTCATTCACATAAAAGTTTCGTCCATCACTACTTATTTCAGGCTTCTGACTGTCCTGATGACAGTAACACAAAGACCAGCAAAGACAACCCTTTCCTGCAAGGTCTGCGGTCAGCTGGGAGGGAAGGACGGCAATTCCAATGCAGTGTAAGCAACGCAGAAATGGGAGGGACTGGGGGAGCCTAGAGGGATGGTGAACCTGGCCTTGGCAGCCACGGAAATGACAGGCCTATCAAATCTCAGAGGAAATGATGCCTGAGCTGAGCTCTGGAGGGAAAGCAGGCCTTGGAAACTCAGACAGCGGAGCCCCTGGCACAGCAGGCTGTTTGCTCAGCACAGCGTCTGTGCTGAAATAGCTGGTACTTTCACTGGCTGTTACAGGTTTCTCCAGTGCCATGTACCATGTTTCAGATGGAAATAGTAACTGGCACGTGACTACTTTCAGATTTTTGCACATGGTAGATACATTGTAAGTCAGGATACTCAGCTCTGAGCTCATGGCTGACAGAGGTGTTTCACTTCCCATGGAATCTCACAGCCTCCGCTGCCCAGCCCAGGCTGGCGTGCAGGAGAAATTCACTTTCCCATGGTCTGCGTTCCCAGGCTGGCTTACCCAGCACTTCTCAGCACCTTTACTTCCTGCAGTCCAAGAACCCCCTCACCTCACTGCCCCAAACACCTGGAGTTACAACGGGAGCAACAGAGGCAGCAGGTACATGGTGAGAACCGGGACGTCAAACCTGAGGCGAATCCAGTCTGAAGGAGGACCTGTTTTCTCCCCGTAACCCTCGGGGAGAGTTAGCTCTTCTATCCCCTCGGTCTCAAGGGCTTCCTTCTTGACTCCTGGCTCCCCCAACCTCTCCTAAGCACCTTCACTCTGCCTGCAAGTCTGAAAGCTGGGGGAAGACTTGGGTGTTGTATCAGGTTCCAATAAGCCACATGCACTCAAGCTTCATTTTTTCCCCCTCCAGTCTACAAAGGGAATCGCTGTATGATATGGGCCTCTCTCTGTGCTCACAGTTAACAGGGATGTGTGGCTGGGGAAAGAAGGTGTTTTTATTTTTATTTTTATTTATTTATTTATAAGTTTTATTAAAGTTCACCTCTTACCCACAGGCCTTGGGCTCCCTATAGAGAAACAAACAGCACAATTGAAGCAGCTGGTTTCTAAGCTGCCAAATTAAAATAGATGAAGAGGTAAGGAGGGGGGAATAAAAACATTAAGCTCAGACTTCTGCACTCCCAAGTGCATGGTGCAGTCTACTGTACTGCACACACAAAATTGACTCCCAATGTAATTAGACTAGTGCTACCAGGCAAGAAAAAAAATCCTCAAATTATTCAGACCCCCAGAGTTATTCTTCTGCAATTACTCAAGTAACTCAGAAAAGCGCCAAGTTTTTAGTATAAATTTGTTACTAGCATCTGCATGCTTCCAGCAATTGCCAACACCCCACCTGCAGAGTGGGGTGCCAACACCCCACCCCAAATTGCAGTCAGGAGCTGAGCTGGGAACCACACCCAAGCACCCTGCCTCTCACCCACTGCCTTCACCTCTTCTTCTGTAGCACAGTCTCACTGGGACCTGGAGCTTATGCCCACAGTCCTTACAGGCTGCGGGGCCTGTCACAAGGAGCTAGAGCTCTTCAGGCCCCACAGACAACAGGCTCCCTTTAGAGTCAACAGTCCTAGCCGCACCACATACAGGCAGGCCCACGGGGAGGGATACCAGCTCTCTCTCTGCAGCCCTGAGCTTGGCTTGGCCATCACCTTCTCCCTTTCGCCCCAAGGACCCCGGAATGGCTCTCCCACCCTCCGGGGCGGAAATGAACCATTGAGACAGGAGCACATCTTTCACTGAACTCGGGGTGGGGGGGAGAGAAATAACCACTATTCGAGAGAGGTGCTTACTGGATTTCAGCAATGCTGCCAGAACTTCAGTGGCTGCCCTGGGGAAAGAGAAAGAAAAGTGGAAAAGTCAATGTGCAATGGTCTTTCTGTCAGACCATGGATCCCCACAGCCCAGGTGCTCGAGGCAGCCACCTAACAGCCCCATTATTAACCAGGTAGCAGGCGTTCTATTGATTCCACCACCGGCCATTAAAGAGGCGTAAATGCAGAAATCACACTGAGTGGGGTGTCCATCTTGCAAATGGGTCTCAGGAGTCCCCTCTGGGGCTGAAATCTCTTCCCCTCCTCCTCTTGCCTGCCACCTCCCACCAACTTCCAGACACTGAGCTCCTCCTTTTTGTGTTGCTCATACCCAGGGCTCCTGATTTATCCCTGCAAACGCTGGGGACTCTTGGCAGTGGGTGGGAGTGGTGGGAGCAGTGGGACCTGCAGGCTGAGGGAGCGAGGCTGGTTCCTCAGGGTGGAAAATGGTTCTGTCCTGTTTTCCATCCAAACACTTTTCTTCCATGGGGGACTTTCACAGGCTTTGCAGAGGCCACAGGCCCACAGAACACAAACACCTTTGGCCCAGGCCTCAGTGATCTTCCGGTCTGTTCCCTGAGCCCAGGAAGGCCCCACAAAGACCCACTCACTGGGCAGAAGAAAAGTTCCGGCGCTGAGGGCACTACAGTGTGATGCTGGGAGGAAAAGTGTGGGTTGCTTCTTTTTTTTTTTAAATAAGAGGGATTTTGCACGACTCCTGTAACCTCCTCTTAAGGTCTGTTAACCAGATACACTCCCACCCTGACTCTGAGGGCTATAGGGCAGGTCAGAGGCTGGATCAGCCTCCCAAGCTGACCCAGACACAAGGCAGAGCTGGGACCCCAGACCCAGGAACCTCACTTCCCTGTGCTTCCTCCCTGCCTATCTTTCTGCAGAGTCTTGCACTGGGCCTGCCCTGCCCGGCTGACAGGAGACAACTCCTTTGCAGTGTATTATAAAATACTAAGCAATTGAGCCAGCAGAAAAAAAAAAAAAGATAACAACAAATGAATAAGAATAAACTAAAATAAAACAGAAACACACACTTGAGACAGCATTGCTTCCCGTAACGTCCAAGATGCCCTGTGACAGCAATGGCCTGTGACTCGCAGGCCCCAGTGCACACCCACAGCTCGATGATCCTCAGCTCCTCGGGAGCAGCGCAGCCACAGGACAGCGGCCGAGAAGGTGAGGCTAGCTGTCGGACACGGGCTGCTTCATCGTCCTTCCCAACCACGCTCCTCTCATCACCTCTCAGTTCCTTCAGCCCTACTCTTATAACCCTGCACAGCTGGGCAACAGAGGACTTAAGAAGGACCACATCGAAGGTGCTGCTGGGAATCCACACCCCTGTGGAAAAGGTTAGTGCTCAGGTGTATGGGGGCCTGGCTTGGACTGGGGCAAACTGGAACCCAGTCAGTCGTCTGGGGGAAGGCAGAATAGCCAAATCAAGTTCACCAAAGGGGCCAGCAGAGAAGAGGGGAAGCCACAGAAGCAAGAAAAGAAAGAATGGGATGCTCAAAGCAAAGTCTGTCCCAAGCAAGGCCTGTGAGGCAACCCTGCATTTCTGCCGTGCACGGCACTTTCATTTGGGGGAGATGAGCACTATTTATTCATGAGATAAGAGTGTTGTGAGGGACAGACCAACAGCGGGGAGAGACAGGAAGTAAGTGGGCAAGCCAGTCAGGAGGATCCGAGGTGACAAGGGCTCCGACCAAGAGACAAGGAAGAAGAAGAAGAGAGAAAGGGGTTGAAGAGAAGTTTGAGTCAAGCTATTCCAAGCCTGGGTCTCCCCAGAGCAGCTCTGCATTTCCTGGGAGCTCAGTAGAAATGCAGACTCCCCCTTCCTGTCCTTGCTGAATCAACCATTATTCCAACAGATCACTCATAAGCACGTGAGGGTTTGAAAATAATAGGTTTGCAGGTCAGCATCAATATGGCTCAGTTACTCTGAAGCTGAGGGGAAGACTGAAGGTGACCCCCAGATCTCAACCCATCAGAAAGTACATGATAGCATAACAAACACAAACCCAAACAATGACACTGCGTGGCAGGAAACTTGTGGCAAGTGTCATATCAGTCAAACAGGGGAAACTAATATCTGCATGACCAGACAAGATTTCTTCCTCTTTGGCTCCTAACTGGGAGCTGCCCAGGGCAAAGATGGACATAAGTGTTAAGGCCATAGCTGAGGAGCCTAAAGAGTCCAGATTCCACTCTATAGGTAATAAGAAAAACAATCTATTTTTTTTTAACCAACAGGATACACTGGCAAGGATGGAAACATGAGTTGAAGCCAAGAATTAATAAGATGGGATGATGGACTAGTTATGGACGACAAAGGAAGGCATCTGTCAGTGAAGGCCTGGCATGGTCAGCCAGGGTGGACAGGGAAAGAAAGCTACTAACAGAGCAAGGAGGGAAACTGAGGTATTCGGAAAAGATACTGATTCTGATTCAGGACATGTTGAGGTCAAGATGATGGGAATAAAGCTACGTGGAACCATCCAGAATGCTACTGGAGTCAGAGACAGAGACTCCAGAGTCGGGACTGTGTGTTTACAAAGCACTATGGTAGCAGCAGGAGCTGCAGCCCTGGGACCAGGTGGTATCTGTGAGGACACCCCATCAGGGCAGAGCAGAGGGCTGGCCCAGGAAAGCACCCAGAGCAGAGGGAAGAGAACCAGAAGGGTGAGAGCACGTGGTGGGAACAGTAAGTAGGAGGAGACCTGGGGGCCCGGGGGGATTTGTTGTGAAACTGAAATTGCTAGATCTGCTAGGCAGAGTTGTTTGCCAAGCTTCAGGCTGTGATCCCAGAGTGGATTGTCAAATATATGTAACAGGCATTGACTAGCCTTGCTCATGAAACAGAATAAATGGGAATGAAATAGGATATATTAGGGCCATTTCATGTAGCCGAGGTCGGCAGCAATCTGAGAAGCTTGTTTCCGTGCACATGCACACAGATGTGCGCCTACTGGAAAAGTGATGTGTTCTCCTGGATAAAAAAAAAATCCTGTGAAGATCCTGCTTAACATGTCGCATCCACACAAGACCTGAACAGTAATGAGCATCTGGGAACGACTCATGAGCTAATGAGCAAACAGAACACATTTGATCTCACACCTGGTGCTGGGATCCAGGTTTCAGGCCACTCCCTGTAAGTGTCACTAGGAGGCTCTTTATTTTTGGTCTAGTTGGTGGATAAACATCTGGAGTTTGAGTTCACCATCTGAGCACCGAGCCTGGCTTCTCTCATGCTCCCCACCGTAACACTGAGGTTACCCATCAGCGCCAAGACAACCCATGGCTCACCCTACAAAATGCAAAAATTTATGCAGCTCAAATTTAAACAAGTTACAAAATATTCAGTTACTTCCTCTCCAAGAAACGAAGCCCACTGCATTGAATGCATGAACTAGGGTCCCAGTGTTAGTACCTCTGGGTGCTGGACTGCCCCCTGCTGGACACGGACACCCAGCACCGATGGTTCTTGTTCTGATTCTGCAGAACAGGACTTTCTGAGAGGGTCCTATTTTCTTAAAGTTTAAACCCAGACCATCATCCCCCTTTATGTGAGCTTCCCAGTGGGATGTCTGTGGGAGAACAAAAGTAGACATGCCGAAACATCCTCCTCCATCCACTTTTTCTGAGTTTGCATCACGGAATGGGTCATTTAATAAATTTTTGCAGAACATCCTACTCTAAGAGAGGTTCAGTAACATCCAAAGGCAAAGTTGAATGGCCTTCACCCTACAGAATTTCTCAATGTAGGGAGATTACTCAGTCAAGATTCTAGGGGTCACAGGTCACTTCCACTTTCCTCCGAGGGAGAGCTAAGCTCAAACCACCGGCAGCAGGACCAAGTCATAGCACACAGCTGGCAAAGCCCAGCGCCCAGAACACCGTCTGGTGCAGTCCTGGCCTCCTGCCTGACTTGACAGGGAACAGCAGGATGGCTGAAAGCATACATGTACATATACATGCACATGCATACACACAAACACGTGTACACGCAAGGCTGGGTTACCAAGGAAAACGGATGACAAATGGGTCTTGCTTATCACCAATTTCAAGGGAGAGAGGAAGAAACAGAAATGGAAATTGAGATGGGGAAGAAAAGCCATGAACATATGGTACAAAGGGTGACCCAGCAGGCACTTGTTCATTTTTCTCTGGGAGAAAAGTAGCAGCAGCCTCACCCCTGCCCACCAACTCTATCCAGACCCCGTCAAAGACGGCTGTTAGAGCCATTATCATAATCACAGGACATTTGATCAGAGACGTGAAGAGCCAGACCACAGGCTGAGTCCGTCAGCAACGCTCAGCAGGCACTGTGACATGGGGCGGGTGGGCGGGGAGGGTGACTGCTGGAGCCAGAAGCAGACACTGCAGACAATCAAGGCTGGGAGGACCTTCCCCCGCGCCCCCACCCACAGGCTTGTAATGAGCACCAACTCCGAGAAGGAGAAATGGTTCTGAAGTATGTCCACATCCACGGCCAGTGGCATGAGAGAAAGCTTCTGAGAATTCCCCAGGCCGGAATGGAAAAGGCTTACGTGCAGAGAGGGGGCTGGGAGCAGAGTGGGGAAGCCAATAAGCTCTCACAGACAGAAGGGTCTCTTTCCACACAGGGGCATGACCTTGAGTTAGCACTTAAGACAAAATTACCCTTGAGTTTTTTAAATTATGCATAAAGTTCAATGCACATGGAAGTGTGACTGTAATCCTATACTTTGTACGTATATATAAATGTAATGAGTACAGTATATAATTACACATACATTTGCAAAATAAAATGGTACGGAATGTTTGCTATGTTACTGTAATCAAACAGTTGGTGTATCACACATTTAGTCAAAATTCTTAGGAGTTAAATATGTGCGTGATGCAATCCGGTCTTGAAATACCTGGAAGCACAAAAGGAGACACACTCTCTGATCACACGGCACAGAGCAGGCAGACAACTGCTGACTCAGGAAATGAATTAAAATGTACCAGATTTTGCTCTAGCTAA